TTTGAATATGTGTGTTTTTTTTTTCTAAAACTGTTGCAGGATTTGGTGCTCGGCTAGAAAAATGCGGTCCGTGCAATACTTGTTGCCAGCCGAGCACGCCTGTATGCTGCCTTTGCGCCTGTCCTGTTCCGCCCTGAAAATAGACGAAATGACTCGGTTTTTTCGAAAGCATGCATATGTTTTAGTACTGATTGTGTTTAGTGATCTGAATATGTACTGAATGTGTGTTTTAAATGTTATTATATTTCAATAAAAATTAAGTATTGTATTTGAATATTTGTTGCAAGAGCTTGGCTCTCGGTTGATGTAAAATCAGCGAATTGAACTCCATTTAGAGGTTTGACTTGTCAAATGCGCTAATAGTGAAATTTATTTTATTAGCATCTTGAACAAAAAAATTAATTTTGAAAAGTCAATGTACAGGAGTCTTTTGATAATAGAAGATTTTGTAGAATAACAAGTCGTTGTGTACCAACTAGCTATTTACAAACCGCTAAAACAATCCTCTGGTCAAATAAGCTATAACAATCGTTATCAGCTATCCGCTAATATAATCCTCTGACCAACATTTTCAATGTGTTTTGTTTGGTTTTGAACACGTCATTGCATATATACCTTATGAGCCACAAAATTTGTCCACTTAAGAGCAAACGTCGGATACGTTGCAAAAAATGTCGTTGTCGACGGATTTAGGGTTCGAGTTGCAATATCTGTACAAGGTTATGTTTTGTTTGCTAGTATTCAAGATTTTGATTAAAATTGTTAAAGAGCATAAGATCGTGCTATTACGGACAATTAAATATTTTTGTAATGTATGTAGTTATGTAATTTCGTAAATTATTAGTCTATAGATAACTCATTAAGAGCATCTACAATGCTTTGGGTTCAATCCCAAAAAATTACATGCCACATAAGAAATAGACGCAGTCCAAAAAAATATATTCTCCAATGCAAATAAAAGTAGACTGGGTCCTGCTGATGTGGCAGCCAGAAAAAGAGACCCGGTCTCCCCTTAAGTCCATTTTAGACCCAAGTAGAGACCTAGTCTCTTTGCATTGGAGTAAATTTTATTATTTTTACATAATTTTATCCACGTCATCTAAGACTTAGGTTTATTTACTTGCCACATAGGCAAGACTAGACCCAATGCATTGAAGATGCTCTAAGTGCTCAATTTAGTGGACCAGCCTGGCAACGGGAAGCCCTGACCCAGATAGAAAGGGTCCAGAATCCAGGCCCAAAACCATAGAGATACACAGAAAGAACGAGCCGTCTCTAGAATCTTTCCTCAACCAGAAGACTGAAGAGTCCTCTGGAAATTAGGCCGTGTGCCCACTCCACCATATAAATTCTCCTTCGCCGGAGCCAATTCCTCACCAGAAACCCGATCAAGCCTTCACAAGCAAAAATCAAACTCTCAATAATCTACCAAAGCAAATCTGTTAGTTAATCCGCAGAGAAACTGAAAATGTCTCTGATTCCGAGTTTCTTCGGCGGTCGTCGGAGCAACGTGTTCGACCCGTTTTCACTGGACATCTGGGATCCATTCGAAGGCTTCCCTTTCTCCGGCGCCGTCGCGAACCCTCCGTCCTCCGCCAGAGAAGCCTCGGCGGTGGCCAACGCGCGGATCGACTGGAAGGAGACGCCGGAGGCGCACGTGTTCAAGGTGGATGTCCCCGGATTGAAGAAAGAGGAGGTCAAGGTCGAGGTGGAGGATGGTTCTGTGCTGCAGATTAGTGGGGAGCGGAGCAAGGAGCTGGTGGAGAAGAACGACAGGTGGCACCGTGTGGAGAGGAGTTCCGGCAAGTTCCTCCGCCGTTTCCGGCTGCCGGAGAATGCCAAGCTTGATCAGGTGAAGGCGGCTATGGAGAACGGCGTGCTGACGGTGACGGTGCCGAAAGAGGAGGTGAAGAAGCCTGAGGTCAAGGCAATCGACATCTCTGGTTAGGAAAGGTTTGATTGTGATATATATGAATAAATGTTGGGTTCTTCTTGTCTTGATTGCATATTATGAGAGTTAGTTTCTGTGTATTTGGAGATCTTGTGTATGTGAGCTTGGATGGATATTAGAGTATGTTATGTGTAATGTAAATTGAGAAAATTGCAATGTTGTGAGTGTTATGTGGTCTCTTTGGTTGTAAACTCCCGTGCAACTGGATAATATAGGTAAAGCTAATCAAAACCATGTTCTCAAGTAAAACTATGTTTAACTATCGTTCTTATATAATGTAGAAATGTCTCTGATTCCGTGTTTCTAAACTGGTTTTGATCCTTTAGTTGAGCTGCATTAGCAATTGTTGATTTGCACTTAAGAACATTGAATTTGGCCATGCTAGAAAAATCGTGCTTGGTTTTCTATGGCTTGTTTTGGATTTAAATACGGGGCAGCAACAAAACTAAGCAAAAACTGGAATAATATGATGAACATGAAAAGAAAATTGTGAAATTTCTATAAACAAAACAAAACTGCCCTCATTGTGTTTACAAATGAATATGCTCCATCACAAGAAAAAATATTCATTAGTCCCTTAAAAAGGTAGGTTTTGTTTACATGTAAAGAACTGATTTTTAGTGGGGATTTTGATGCATAATATAAAAGGTTACTGAGATCTGTTTCCAATCTCTTTAACTCTGAAGTTGCAGATTAACAGAAAATTCCACAGTAATGAAACTTCCCAAAGATTTTACAACAGCAGCAAATACTCGACCAAGTTCTGCAAGGACCCGTACGAAGATCCACCAGGCTCAATCTCCTCCCTTCTAAACCCATCCTCCAATTCCAAACGTGGCACACGTACCGTGCATTCACCAACTGATCCGTAAAGCACGGGCTGCAAATCATCGGCACCCCTTCATAAATGCTCTCCAACCGAATAAATGCTCTCCAACCGAAGGATATGACAGCACTTTCATCCAACAAAATCTTTTTCTTCTATTGCTGCAATACTGCCGATAACCGAGTCAGGAGGTTGTTTGTGGAGCCACGAGATTGAACTGTGGTCTTCTTCGAATAAACTGCTACTTGAAGAGGCTGGAAAGTGGAAAGTGCTTGTGAAATGGACCGAATGGGAAGATTGGGATTTTGAAGTCCACGCGAAGTTTTTCGATTACCGAGTACTCGAGATCTTGCAAGGAGTTAAAGTTTAGTCCGGACGAAGCCTTGGTTTGTTCTACCATGGCTTGCACTAGCTCATACTGTTTCTCTGGATGAGATGTTCCGATTATATTGGGATATCCTTGATTCCAAGTGGAGGAAGCTCCTCTACCGGATCTTCCAGCTTCTTCTCCGTCTGCTTAGCGTGGAATAAGTAAACTAACCACNAAAATTTATTTTTTAACTTTTAAAGTAAAATTCTTTAGCTTTTGCATAAATGTAAATTATGAAATAATTATCTTATTAGATAATTTTATTAAAGATAATTAATATTTTTTATTATAAGTATTTAAAAAATATATTTGAAAAAAAAAGGTAATGTTGTTTACATAATTATATCAAAATACAAAGTGATTTAGAGTATTAAATTAAAAATAGAAGGTAAAAGTAGGCTTTATATTGAGAGTAACTTAAAATTGAAATCTTCAAATGAAAAAGTTAAAAATTTGGGTGAAATAATAACAAAAAAAGTCAAGTAATTTTCCTAAAAATATAATACAAATTGAGAGAATGTAAAAAACTTTTTCTATAAAACAAAATCATTCATAAATCAATTTAAATGCTATAAAAAAAACCATAAACCAATTCAAATGTTATTTAAATGTAATTTAAAAATTTGGGTGACATAATACCAAAAAGTCAAGTAATTTTCCTAAAAATATAATACAAATTACAACACAGTGATATGTTCATATTTTGATTGTGAGAGAATGTAAAAAACTTCTTCTATAAAACAAAATCATAAACCAATTACACCCCAAGTGCTACCTCACGTACCTAAACTTATCTTTAAGTCTATTTAAAAAGATAAATTTATCATTCAATCTCTTTAATTTATTCTTAACTAGCCAACTATTCCCCTTTTTTTTTTCAATTTGTGTTTAAGTTTATCACTCATGCAACCATTTCTTTAATTTGTGTGTAATTTAATATAATGTACTGAAATGAGATGAGTTTTATAGTGAGACAAATGAATTGGTTTAATTATTATTTTTTTAATCTAGTGATGACAATTTATTTACTAGTAATATCATTTATATCTATAACTTTCTGCAACTTTTTTCTTCCAAGTATTTATTATTATTATTATTTAAGCGCGTAACTACAAATTTATATTTGAAAAATGCTATAGGTACATAATACTGTACATAAAGATGTATACAACACTCAAATTAAGTGGGTTCTACTAAAAATAAAAAGAGAAATACTATAGGTACATAATACTATACATAGAGGCCAACATGAAAGGCTCGACACATCGGACATTGAGCATTTCAATTAAGGAGAGAGTATCGGTTTTTGGAGATCCATTGTCGATTTCGGACATGCAGACGTGGATTGGTCGGAACGTGAAATGAGGGTGGTTCGATGGGTTAGGTGAGTTGAGGCGGGAGTGGATGACGGTTATTGAGAAGCCTCAGAGAATGGAGAATGTTTGCCAGCTGGAGCATAGGGCTGATGTGGCCTTGGAGTGGGAGTGGAAAAAGTATTAGGCGCCGGCCGTCGGTTCTTTGCTGTTGTGGTTGTTCAGGTTGCTCTGCGGAGTGCTCCATGGATTTTTTTTTTAGTCAAGGGAATTCAACTTTGGACTAGTGATTGGTATATGGGAATGGGCTGGTTCAAGATTGGAGCCTTGGAGGGAATTCAACTTTGGACGTTTGTGGTATTGGCAATTTAGCATGTGAGGTGGGGCATAATTAGATCCGTTTGTTAATAATTAATGATTTACTATGATAAATGTTATCTTATTTTATTATTTTTAGGTACTGTATTTTAATATTTGTTGCAAGCGTTTGGACTTCGTTTAGAGTGGGTTGATGTAAAACTAGCGAGTTGAACTTCATTTAGAGGTTTGACAGTCAAATCTGTCAACTAGTTTGTAGAGTGGGTTGAAGTAAAATTAGCGAATTGAACTTCATTTAAAGGTTTGACTGTCAAATCTGTCAACTAGTTCGTTAGAGTGGATTGATGTATAACTTGTATTTATACACTGCAAGGCAATCTTCTAGTCAAACAATTATGTTAATTCGCTAATGTAATTTATTATTCAATATTCAAATAAATAAATGTATATCTTATGGATAGACAGCGGAATGAAAAAACTAAGCGCTAGTTGTCATTACTAATCGAATACCCCTAGAATTGGATTTGGACAAAATATTGTAAAGAAACATAAATTCAATCTGCTAATTAGAGATGGTCATCGGATCGAATTCAATCTGCTCATCGGGATCGAGTTGGCCATTGACCTTCTGGGTCACACATGATGAACAACTGATCTCATTGATTGGTATTCAAAACCTAAAACGAAATCGAACTCATTTAGTACATAGACTGGTCTGTTCGATTCTACAATTTTTTGGCTCGGTAGATTTGAGCCCAACCCAAAATCCGGCAAACCACCAGAATTTGGCCCAAAATTTTTGAATTTTTATCACTAATGAGTAATTAGTGGGAAAAAATTATATAAACAATTTTCCTCTCCACGGTGAACCGTGGTCCATAGTGTGAAATCAAATATCACATGAACAAATAACATAAAACAAAATTATATTCCACAATAATGCAACATATATACTTCTTGACTTGATCAAAGTCATCCCAGAAAGAACAACTTTGATTTAGAAAAAATAAAAATAAAAAATAGCTTAGGCCAAATTCAAACTGAGACCCATAATTTTTAATCCACTAGCAAGCACAAATTCAAATATACGTTGTGCTCACTCTAATGCGGGCCATTTGAATAGTCCTATATCTGAAAAAATAAAAATAAAAAATATTGGTTTGAATGCCCATTTAAATACTCCTATATCTGAAACCACTTTAATTTTCCGAGAAGAAGAATGGCAACAAACAGCACGTACGACAAGTTTCATGGTAAACGGAAGAAAAAAAAAAACAGATTCAAGTAAGAAATCAAAGATTATATAATTATATTCAACGGTCTTCCCTAACATTTTGTATTCGAAAATAATCACTTCGTCAAACAATTAGATAATATTCTAATTTCTAATTCAACTAGGTTTGATATCTTTGATGCAGAACATATTTATTAAAAGAAAAAAATTAAAATAAAATTATATCAACTTGATAGCAGGTTTCTATTTATAGAGCCAAGTATAATTCCCAACAAAAATATAATTACCTGACAATTAGAACTCCATTAAACTGATTACCATACTAAAAACAATTAACAAATGGCTGCTGCTAGAATTACAAAAACTGGTATCATGGTCACATTCCTCATCATCGCATTCGTATTTTCATCGTCGTTTAGGCCCTGCGAAGCAGCTCGACTGGCTTCCGGAGGTAAATTTATAAGTTATAAATCCCAAGTAAAATAGGCCGAAATAGCTAATATTCATGATAATATATATTTAGCAAGTAATTAGAATTTGTTCTTTTTTGGCAGCTGGATTAATTGATGTTAAGGCCGCAGAAAAATTATGTGGACCTTGTAATTGTTGTCAGGCTATCACACACCCTTGCTGCGGCTGTGGCCCCTGCCTCCCTCCTAAGCCCTGAAATCGATCGAGCATCGAGCTTAATCGAGCCGAGTCGAATTTACTACTTTTGAATTAAATAAATCACAAATTGTGATAATTAATCTTAATATATGTACAATTGATGTAATTCTTTCTTCTTTTTCTTTTGCACCAACTTATGTAATGGCATTTGTTCATCTTATTTCCTACTTTGTGTAATTTATTTGGAAATTTAATGCCCGATTTATATATATTTTTATTAATTTAAGGTCTGGATTTTATTCTTTCTATATATATATATATATACACATAAGATTTATATTTTAAATTATTCTTAATTTAAGACTGATTTTTTTTATGTTTGACATTTGAATGTAAGGTCACACTAACTTTATTTCATGATATAATTATACGAACATAAATATTTCTTTTTGTAATTTATATTTAAAAAACTTATAAATTAAAATAAAAAATAATAAATAGCTTTAATAAAATTACTGTAATAAGAAAATTAATCTATACAACATAATTTTTATGTTCATGTCACTTTCATATATCATTTAGGTGTAAAATATAATTATTAATTTGAATAATAGCTATTATATATGATACAATAAAAAAATATATTTATTACACAATTAATATAAAATATAATTGTTTTTGTCTTAACTAACATAATCAGTTTTTGAAAAGTTAGGTGTCACGTAGGTATAATTTATGAGGTTTTATTTAACGGATTGCTAGCAATTATATATATATATATATATATATATATATATATATATGTGTGTGTGTGTGTGTAGATATATATGTATAGAGAGAGAGAGAGAGATAAAATCTAGGTTTTAAATTGATACAATTTCAAAAAGTTGGGCGTTAATTTGTTTTAAATGTGATTAACTGTATTAAATTACTTTATTAACTGAATTATTACCAATAGCAAGAGGTCATATTGTTTATGTCAAAGAACTTCTCACTGAGGATGGGTTGAACTGGAACGAATGGTTGGTAAGCAAACTTTTCTGTTCTGAAGACAGTAATGCCATTTTAAATATCAAAACATTGAATCCTCTTAGTTCAGACAAATTCTATTGGGGATTAGATAAAAAGGGGCAATTTTCAATTCAAGCAGGACGAGGTTGTTTATATACTGCGAGTGTTCACACTAGGGGCGGGTACCGTAATTACTTGGTTTGTTGCGTTCACACTTAAAGAGTTGGTTAATTACGGTACCGCCCCTAGTGTGAACACTCGCAGTATATAAACAACCTCGTCCTGCTTGAATTATTTCTGCGAGTGTTCACACTAGGGGCGGTACCGTAATTACTTGGTTTGTTAAGTGTGAACGCAACAAACCAAGTAATTACGGTACCGCCCCTAGTGTGAACATTCGCAGTATATAAACAACCTCGTCCAGCAGGACGAGGTTGTTTATATACTGCGAGTGTTCCCTAGTAAATTCAAGCAGGACGAGGTTGTTTATATACTGCGAGTGTTCACACTAGGGGCGGTACCGTAATTAACCAACTCTTTAAGTGTGAACGCAACAAACCAAGTAATTACGGTACCCGCCCCT